AATTTTTTATTAATACAAAATAATTATATCCACCACAGGGACGTGATACATGTACATAACATATTAATTCTTTTTTGATACACTTCTTCCCCCCCCCCATCTCTTGGTCCCCTTCTCATTTGCAAAACATCTGTCTGTGTTTCTGGTGATTTCTTACATTTTGCTCTTTTATTTATACCTTGTTTCTCATAGAAGAAAAACCATGTGATGTTTAACTTCTGTCTGATTTATTTCACTTAACACTGTGGTTTTAGATACATCTATTTTCCTATAAATGACTCAAATTTATCTTTTTATACTAGAATAGTACTCCATTGTGTATAAAAACCATGGTTTTTTAAAATTAATTTTATCAATACATTTTAGGTATACAATATAATTCATCATTGGAAATTTGTACCTTTAATTAATCTATCTTGGTTCTTATTTTTTCCCCATTCCCCTGCCCTCCCTTTAACCCCTCCACCCCTCCCTATTTACAAAGAATTTGTTTCCATTTTTTCATTTTCTCATATTCCATTCCTTTCTTTCCTTTCTCCTACCCCTCCCACTTCACCTTCCCCATTTCTTCCTATTTCACCTTATCTATTAAACCTTTTAGTTCTTATTTACACTTTCAGTTTCTTATACCAGAGAAACTATTCAGTATTTACACATGTGTCCTGTTTATTTCACTTAAGAGTATAACCTCTATGTGCATCCATTTATCTGTAAATTCCTCTGGTCTCACTTTTTATGGCTGAGTAGTGCTCCATTTTATTTAAAAACCACATTTTCTTTATCCAGACTCTAGTTGGGCAGTTGGGCTGTTTCCAAGTTTTAGCTATTACAAACTGGCCCACTAGGAACATGGGTGCACATATATCACTGTGGTATGATTCTTTTAATTCTTTGGGAAGATACCCAGCAGGAGAATATCTAGGTCAAATGCAACTTCCAATCCTAGTTCTTTGAGGTATCTCCATACTGATTTCCACAGTGGTTGCATGAGTGGACACTTCCACCAACAGTGGAGAAGAATTCCTTTATCTCCACAACCCCGCCAGCATTTGTTATTGATTGATTTCTTGATAGCAGCCTTGATCAAAAAAAATCTACACCTAGGCGTATAATTCTTAAGATTCCAGAAACCCAACAGAAGAACAAATTATACAAGCAGTGAGAGAAAAGAAACAAATCACATACAAAGGAAAGCCCATCAGAATCACAGCAGACTTCTCA